TATGGCATCTGCAACACACACAGGTGCACAGCTCAGGGCATATGGCTTCCATCAGCAACTTACCCGATTCCTGCATGACACTGCTTGTTCTCATCTACCAACTACCAGCCCTGCATAACTGAGAACCCATCAAGCAAAACTAGCCCGTGAGATTTACTGTTGCGTCAGGCATCTTGGCAAACTTTTTCTCTTGCACCTGCAAGGCAGTCAAAGACAACAGAAATTTATCAAGTGTTGGGAGGACACTAAACCCAATTGGTGGGGTACATTTAGCTTAAGGGTCAGGGGGCTGTGGATTTCCTTTTCTTATCCTATCTTAAGTCATAGATTAGTGGAAAGTGATGAACCTCCAGATCTTTCAGCTTACAACTCCCATCAGTCTCACCCAGTCTGGTCAATGCTAAAAGGACCACAGAAGTTGTAGTTCCAAGAATCTGGAGAAAGATGCTAGGAAAAAAATGAGTTGTCTTCCTCAATTTTCAAAATATAGGCATGCCTTTACAGAAAAAAAGTCTTTCAAGGTAGCTATCCATGTCATTATCACTAACATAGTTTCACAATCTACCCTGGTGGCGCAGTGATTAAATGCCTGTACTGCAGCCACTCACTCACAAACCACAAGGTTGTGAGTTCAATACCAGCCAGGGGCTCAGGGCTGACTCAGCCTGGCATCCTTCTGAGGTCACTAAAATGAGTACCCAGCTAGTTGGGGCAATTAGCTTACACATTGTAAACCACTTAGCCTTAGGGAGTGCTTAAGTGCACTGATAAGCAGTATAGAAATGTACTTGCTATTGCTATTGCTATTACTACCAGGTCTTATTGACTGGAGGTTTAGATCATCAATAATTCGTATTCTGTTCAAGAACCTAGGAAGGAGAGGGGTATTATCAGATAATGTGACATGTTCTGAGAACTGTCCCTTTTTGTAATAGTACATGATCCTGAAAAAGTTGTCAAAAATGTTGGAAACAAAAATCTTATGGGACTTTACCATTCAAAGTGATAATCAATTAGAACCTAATATGCCAGATACAACTGTGGTTCAGAAAAATTAAGTTATTACTGTTTCTGTTACAGGATGAGTCTCCCTTATCTGGAATTCCAAAATCTGAAATACTTCAAAATCCATAATTGTCCACATGGATGGCTGAGATAGTAATACCTTTGTTTTCTGAGGGGTTAGTTTACACAAACTTTGTTTCATGCATACAATTATTTAAAATATTGTGTATAAAATTGCTTTCTAACTATGTTTATATGGTGTACACAAAGCATCTCCAAGATATCTCATGATATATATTTGAATGTTTAAATATTTGAAGGGATGTCATATTGAGGAGGGAACAAGATTATTTTCTGCTGCTCCAGAGACTAGGACCCAGAACAATGGGTGCAAGCTGCAAGAAAAGAGATTCCACCTCAACGTTAGGAGGAACTTCCTGACAGTAAGGGCGGTTCGACAGTGGAACACACTCCCTCGGAGAGTAGTGGAGTCTCCTTCCTTGGAGGTCTTTAAGCAGAGGCTGGATGGCCATCTGTCTGGGATGCTTTGATTGGGAGTTCCTGCATGGCAGAGGGTTGGACTGGATGGCCCTTGTGGTCTCTTCCAACTCTATTATTCTATGATTCTATTATATGCAAATAAAATAAATAAATCCAAAATTCTAATTCCAAGCATTTGGGATAAGGGAAACTCAACCGATATTGTTACTAGCCTCATATCAAATCATATCTGTCCCTGCAATTCATTCATAGCAGAAGAGAAGCCTGCACAAACAGCCATGAAATGTCATTTGTTTTGTCTGCTGCACTACACATTTCTTAAACAGTGGAAACTAAATATTTATGGAAGGGAAGCTGCTTGTCTAATTTCCTTTCTCCCAGACCACAGCAGCACTCTAGGAAAAGAAGCCTGAAATGACAAGTGATTACAGCTCCCAGCAGGGGAGCCATGAGCGATGGCAGACCCCTGCTGCAGCCAAACAATTCCATCCAGGTTCTTCTCCCCTGATGCTGCTGCATTCTACTTTTTGTGTTCTCCTCTCCATGTTGCTTAGGGACTAGGAAGTTTATGAGCCCACGCTTCCTCTGCATCTCTGTTTCTCAGGTACAGGGGCAGTGGGAAAGATACCCAAGAATAGGTAAGTGGCAGACAGCTTTCCCAGTGTATGTTGCCCTCCTCTGCCTACAGCCCCTGTGTATCACACCAAAAGCCTCTCCAGAATTTCAAGGAAAACCACAAAATTTGGATCTGGACAGCATTAAGAAAGGGGAAACAATCTACTGCAGTGATTCCCAAATTTTGGTCCTCCAAAGGTACAGACTTCAACTCCTAGAAGTGTTGGCCAACAGTTAGGAATTCTGGGTGCTGAGGTCCAAAGTATTCAGAGGACCAAAGTTTGGGAACCAAAGTTTAGGAACCACTGACCTGGAGATGTTATACACTCACCATACCGGGGCCCTTGAGTTTCCCCACATGGCAGCCTAGGGAGTGTTATAACTCACTCTGTAGAATACAAGGAATTGAAGGAGAGATGTTAGACTTTGAAAGGCCTTGGTTTCATGTGAAACCAAGCTGAACAACTAGTGACAAACATAGATGATGAGGAAAATGGGCCCTTGCCTCAGCCAGAATTGGGTGACACCAAGAAGAGACTGACGTCCTTTCTAGTAAGCTGAGATAGAACTGGGAGCAGCATCAAAGGAGGCAACATCCTCTTGCAGAGCTGTAACTGAGAAATGTTGACCAATTAACCACCTGGTGTCTCAAAGTCAGGAAGCTATACATTTCCCATCACCTATCTGGCACACATATATTCTTGGGTATTAATAATCTCTCTGCTCTCTCCCACTACCCCTATATATAAGAAACATATCTGCACAGGAAGCATGGTGTAGTTTGCAACTGTTTGCTCTACCATACTTTCCATATACTTTGTCTTCATTGATATATTTTGGATTATTAACCTATGGAGTGACTTTCATCTCTTTGTCTTTCTTCTTTGACTCGGGTTATTGTGACTGCTTCTGATGGATTTTGAGATGGCTGAGATTTTGCTAATGCCATTCCATTGGCTTCAGTGAACTCTCTTGATTGCTTGTGAATAACCAAGACTGGCCTGACTTACCTGAAACTGCTTCCCCTGGCACTTACTGCCTTTAGGTCAGTGGTGGCAAACCTATGGCACGTGTGCCAAAGGGGGCACTTAGAGCCCTCTCTGTGGGCACATGCACTGTCACCCCAGCACAAAATTCACCAGAATCTGTTACTGGAAACCCAGAGGGATGCGGCACTTTGCAATAAATGTGGGTTTTGGGTTGCAGTTTAAGCACTCGGTGTCTAAAAGGTCCGCCATCACTGCTTTAGGTACAGGACAGTGAGACACAATTCATAAAGGTCATTCACTATTATCCCTTCTCATTAGGCTCTTTAGATATTAGAGAGGGAAGGAAGGAATCCACTGCATGCCTTTCCCTTCTGCTGGTGCAGACAGAAGCTAAATCAACAGTTTTCACTTCTTCTCCTGATTCTAAAAACATGAGATGTTGGCTTTCCCCTCTTAGAGAGAGTGATGCAGGATGGTCTGGTTTCCTTTCTAACAGATGTATCATGCCGTTAAAAAAAATAGTGATGGATACAAAATCAGAAAAATTGGACAGTTTTAATTAATCCATTTCAAGTAACTATCCCCAGAAGTTTGAAGTGGTGTGTGTGGAGGTGTGTGCATGTGAGAGAGACAGAAAGCACAGGTGTGGTCAAATTAGTATGCTGGCAGTTTTCAGAGCTTTCATCTTTTTTCCTGAAAAGGTAAACAACGTAGGGAAAAAACATCCTAGTTTAATATTTACAAAGATTGTACTAAATATAATTTCCAAGCAAAGCTTTGAATTTATTTGACTAGATCATTAAACCACACCAAAGCTGCAATCCTGTGTGTAATTTACCTGGGAGTTAAGTGCTGCTGAACACAGCTGACCTTACTTCTTAGCAAACAAGCACAGGATTGATTACTTTAGAAGTGTGTTTTATTGATCCTTTTTCCTTATTAAACATTTCAGTACAGCTCCTTCTGGGTACTGAGGGGGAAAAGAGGGAAGGGAGAGACCTTAGAAAAGTTACCTGGTGGACTACAATAGTCAGAATCCCCAGTCCACATGGCTATACCAGCTGAAGGTTGAGGGAGTTGAGTCCCCTACTCCAAAAAAAAGCAACTTCTCCAAGCTCTAGATCTAAGGGATCAGAACACTGCAGGAATCAACATTTTCCAGACAAGCCACATAACTGGAAATGAACAGTGATGCAAAGGTGTAGGCAAGCTGCTACTTATTTGCTCCTGCCAAAGTAATGGCTACTTGACCAAAGAAAGTGGCCAGATGAAAGTCTCTGTCGCAAGAGAATACAAGAAGAGCCCTACCAGATCGGACTAGTAGCCTCCTGCCTACAAAGCCTAACCAAATACCTTTGGGAAGACCATAAATACCAACAAGAAGGCAACTATTTCCTTCTCTTGTCACTGCCAAGCAACTGGCAATGACTAGTAGCTGCTGATAAGCCAAACCTGCAATGAAATGCTGAACAGTGAATGCTTCTTCTGTTCATGATTCCAAGAAGCCATCTGAACCTTCTTCCAAGATATTTCACTCCACAAAGACACTCACCATTAGGTTTTCCACTTCTCCATTTCCTGTCTACAGACCTTGCACAGCCTTCACAGTGCTGCCTTTTCCCCCTGCTTTTGGGTACATCTTCAAATTTAGGAGCTTCCACAATCATGTCCACACCTTCCTGCTGTTTTTGTGTATGATGGCCTTCTGAGATTCTATTCCTGACTAGCTTTCAAGATGTTGTTGTTTGTTGTCGTGTGCCTTCAAGTCATTTCTGACTTATGGTGAACCTATCATGAGGATTTCTTGGCAAGATTTGTTTTGAGGATTGCCATTGCCTTCTTCTGAGGCTCAGAGTATGTAACTTGCTTATGGTCACCCAGTGGGTTTTATGTCCAAGGGAGGAATCGAACCCTTGTCTCCAGAGTCATAGTCCAATGTTCTAATCACTAAGCCACACTGGCTCCAATTGTGCATGTATCCAAGAGGAAATGTAAGAACTTTCATTCTGTATAGTAACAAAAAAAAAAAAAAATCTCACTATGGTCTAACTTGGACTTCCTAGGATCTCCTTGCGTATTGCTCATACTCTCCATCGTCTGTCCACAAACATGGGGAGGAGAGACCTGCTCACTCCTCACTGATACAAAGGAAGAAGCTGACTTTTTCATTTCTCTGTGACCTGTGCTCAGTTCCTCTGAAGACCTGTACAATTTTCATACTTTTCCATGGTTACAAAAAGTAAAGGATTACATACTTTTCCACAGAATTTAAGAGATAGGCATGTAGGTACTTACAGAGAAAAAGAGATTTCCATGAGTTTTCAAAGAGCTAATATAAGCCTTATATATGAGACAGAGAGCATGGCTGTTTTTTTCTGGTCAAGAGTCAAAGCAATATTCACAAACTTGGATGTGGAATGGGAGTGGGGAGTAGAAGGAATCTATATCACCAATAAATATTGAAACCCCCCCCCCTTGTTGTTATGGGACTTCAAGTCATTTTCCGCCTTACAGCAACCCTAAGGCAAACCTCGCATGGAATTTTCTTGACAAGATTTCCTCAGAGATTTGCCTTTGCCATTCTCTGATGCTGAGAGAGTATGGCTTGCCGAAGGTCATCCAATGGTTCTTATGGTTGAGCAGGGATTTGAACCCTGGTTTCCCAGAGTCTTAGTCCAACATATGCTCTCAGCCTCAGGGGAAGGCAATGGCGAACCTCTTCTGAACAAATCTTGCCTAGAAATCCCCATGATAGGTTTGCCTTAGGGTTGCCGTAAGTCAGGAAACAACCTGAAGGCACACAACACACATATGGTCCAACACTCAAACCACTATACCACTATCTCTTATTACAGATCTACAAAACACAGCATTTGCACAAGAGTTAGACCATGACCTCACTGAGACTGCTACAAGGTCTACCAAAATCAGTATTTTCCTTCCCACATCTGGATCCACAGGGACACCTAGGAACCCAAAAACAGCATATCAGATTGCAGCTATTCTCCTCTGACTTGTCTTCTGTCTCAAACTCAGATACGCTGCTCTTAAACACAGAGGCTCAGTGTTTGCTCTCATGGCAACATGCAGAATACAGGTGGGCCAGGTGGAGTTTAAAAGGCAGTATTCCAGAAGCATTTATATGGATCTTGGTGGGCTCCACAAAACTAGTCTTTGAAATTTAAAACACCAGTTTCTCAGCTTTGTACTGACTGGCTCTTTAAAAATTGATCTTGTCTCTGTGCAACTCAGAATTTATTTCATCTAGCCCTCCTATTGTGTGTGTTCATGCACCCGCACATTCATGAGCATGGTATATATGTACATACACAGAGACCCACACTAGGATTTTACAGGAAAGCCAAACGACACCACTAGAAGAGATGAAAGAGAATGCTAAACCGCATCGGATGCTGGGAATAATGACAGAAGCTTTCATCAGTGAAACCAAGATTGCCCAAGACACACAGCGCCTGTGATCTTCTGTACAGCAAAAGCCATTTATTACCAGGATGCTTTATATTTTTCCTCTGCTCAAACTATAATCTGACCTATGCAGAAACAGTAGAAGCCAACACAGAATTACACAGAAACGGCAGAAGCCAATTCTTTCAAAATGCTCAATTTCCCAGGCTCTCTTGGGATAAGTGGGTGGATAGGGTTTTTTTTAAAAATCCTTTTTCCGGAAACGTATCTTTGGCCTACTTATGTATGAAGGGGAAAATGTGTAATTGAGCACAATGACCATCCGCTTGGAGATTGCTGAGTAATACAATCTAAGGAGATGAAGAGCAAGCACCCCGCCTTCAGCCTCTTGGGAGAGCAAGCCGCCCGCTCTGAACCAGCCGCCGTCTGGACCCAAGCCTTGCCAAAAGACAGACTTAACCAGAAGTGTGGCTGCGCAGCCCAAAGACCAATTAAATCCCAGGAAACCGCAGCTGACCTCTTCCCAGCATGAGACACCCATTTTAACTCTACTGCAGCCAATATTGCTGTTGACACATCATAGCTATGTTTCCACAAATAAGCCAAAGACACCGGTTGCTTCCATCTGGGTCAGCATTCCCGCTAATGAAAGAGGATACAAGACCCAAGATCACCAACCACAGTCAACCTAGTGCAAAAAGACCCCTCTGTTTTCTTCCTGATTCAGGAACTGTACCTTGGCTGCATCTACACTGTAGAAATAATCCAGTTTGACACCACTTTTTCCCCCATGCTGTGGAATTTGGGGAACTGTAGTTTGTTTTGGTACCAGAGCTCTCTGGCAGAGAAGGCTAAATGTCTCACAAATCTGTAATTTCCAGAAATTCATAGCATTGAACAATGGCAGTTAAAGCAGTGTCAAACTGGATTATTTCTGCAGTGTGGAAGCAGCCCTTATCTTTCCAATTCTTCTGTATTTCCATGTGCACATATATGACTTCAGGTCACCGGCTGACTAAAGGAGACCCCATGAATTTCATAGGGTTTTCTTATTCAAAGAATACTCAGAGGAGGTTTGTTGTTGCCTTCTTCTGAAATATACCTCATGACACCTGGTATTCCTTGCTGGTCTACCATCCAAGTACTAACCAGGACTGACCCTGCTTAACTTCCAAGATCACACAGGATTTGGTGCCTCCAGGGTTTCTAGGGCTGCTGCCACACTGCAGAATTAACGCAGTTCGACACTGCTTTAACTCTCACGGTTCCATCCAATGGAATCCTGGGACTTGTTTTGACACCAGAGCTCTCTGACAGATAAGGCTAAATATCTCCCAAAATTACAAACTCCAGAATTCCGCAGCACTGAGCTATACCAGTTAAAGCAGTGTCAAACCGCATTAATTCTGCAGTGTAGATGCAGTCTAAGGGCCTAAGCAGACTGCCAGAAATAGTGCACATTAAATTGAGGCACTGCCCTGGCTCAGTGCTAGGGAATCATGGGAACTGTAATTTATTGTGGCACCAGAGCTCTCTGACAGAGAAGGCTCAATGTCCCAGAAAAAAATACAGTTCCCATGATTCCCTAGCACTGAGCCAGGGCAGTGCCTCAATTTAATGTGCACTATTTCTGGCAGTCTGCTCAGGCCTTTAGTTTCCTAGATGAGTTGAAATACTGCAGGCATTAGAAGTCTAAGCATTTGCCTATATATGATATGGAGCAGTTACAGCCACCTTTGTACTTGAATGCTCACCTGCTGCCACAGGTGATACAGAGACGCATGGAAATAAAGAGAAAATTTTGATGAGGGCTGCATAGGACTGCCTGCCTGAATCCCTCCTCTTCTCCCCTCTATGTCATAGGCTTTTCCATCCATAATAGCCTAGGAAGGCCACTTTTCATCAGACTGGTGGCCCATCGGCTGCCGATGGGAAGCCAGCTAACAGGATGTGAGTGCAATTGCACTCATAGAATCATAGAATTATAGAGTTGGAAGAGACCACAAGGGCC